TGGGGGGGGTGGCCGTGCCACTGGGTATCTCTTGCCAACACCAGCTGTCAGAGTCCAGCTAAACATGCAAACCAGCATGACCAAAACCGGTTACAAGGGGGTTGGCCCAGCAAGGGAATGCTGCTGCTGTCACTTGCCTTCAGCAGTCCTTGGGATGTCCTTAGAGCGAGCGGTGCCTGTTGGGGTGGCAGCACACCACTGAGGAGCCCTTGTTCCTCCATGGGGTGTTAGCACCTCTGCAGTTCCACAGCTTGATTTCTAAGCTTGCAAAGGCTGGGCTCACTGCTGCTGGCGTTCTGCTCTCCACATATATTGCAGAGGCTTATAAAATTGAGACAAATAATATATTCAAATGAATTTATTTTATAAACCAGTTAAACCAGATAAACCAAATAAGCCAATTAAAGCTTGGCCAACATTTGAATACACATTCATTATATCGAATTGGAACTACCCAACTGTAAGAACTCTCACGATTTCAGAAGGGTAACCCAGAATGCACAATCCCTCACGCAATGAGGGCTCTCAGCCTTGAGGAGTTTCCTCGGGGAGCCCCTGTCTGCTGACCCTCAGCTCCGAGGAGGAGCAGCTCCACTGATCCCCGTTGGGGCTCGGTCTGTAGCCCCATTGAATGTGATTTGTGGTCAGATACAGTCACGTTACCCCTCACTGAGCGGGGTCTGACCTCCTGCCCCACCACAGCCACCAAGCGGGTGTGGCGGGGCTGGTCACGCCGGCCAGCCGGGACATGGCCGGCTCACCAGCCGGAGGGGCTGAGGTGGGTACTCCTGCCACAACCAATTGGTTTGGATTTGTTTGTTGGGTTGATCTGTTAATTCTCTGCCAGGCAGTGGGTGGAGGAGGATTCAGTATGGACACACTCCTAGCCTTAGAGGAGCTGCAGTGGTGGGGAAGGGACCCCCCTCCAACTGCTGAGGATGGGGACACTGGAGAGATGCCTGGAAGTGGAGCAGGCTGAGACTGGCTTGCAGAAGCCAAATTCTTATTCCTGTTCATTTAGTTACTAACTGGCAGTGGCCATTATGCCCTCAGGCCACTGAGGGCACAACCAAAACCTTACTACTGCCACAACAAAGGAAGGTTTACATCTCCCTGTGTTGAGAAGCACTGAGCTAATGGAGCTGCTCATGCAGGGAAGAGTGGAGAGTATTAGCTGGCTCATTAGAGGATGAGAAAGTAGGACACATACCTCTCAGGTGACTTCCCCAGAGCCAAACAGCCCAGCACTCCACATGCTCTGTCTCCCAAAACAACAGATGTCCAGGAGAGATTAGGGCAGTAGAAAGATTTTTCAGACCTGGCAGCCAAACAGCCAAGAGTGTGCCAAGCTGAGAGAGGCCGGTGTTGTTACGGGGATAACGGATTTTCACAAGCTTGGAGCCATGAAAAAAAACAACCTCTTCCATCTTCCAGTTATTTTACTGGGTTTTTTAGGTCAACTTCCAAAAGAACTGTAGGGGGGGGAAATGAAATATTTCAGCTCAGGTCTGCCCCAGGTATGGCCCCAGTTCTGGCCCCGTGCAGACCAGCTGTGCTGCCGGCAGCCTCAGCCCCTCCTGATACCTGTGCAGGTGCTGCTGGAGCCAGGAGCAGGGAGAGACACCAGTGCCAGGTGGGCCTGGCCAGCTTCACCTGCAAACACCAAACAAACCTGCTGTTCCGCAGAGGGGAACTCGGTCCTCAGCTCTCAGCCCTAGAGGGCCTTCACGAGCAACCCACGTCGGAAGGTTATGGGAGAGCAGAGACATCGCTCAGTGGCAATGTCACCGCGTCTCTTGCTGATGGTCCCCCTGGGGTTGGACCCCCCTTGCCCCGTGGTCATAGGTGACATGTCACATGAGAGCCCCCCTGCTACAGGCTGCTTTCAATCAGCGGCGACACACAGTCTCTCGGGAAGCTGTTCCAGCCTTCTGGAGGCAGGACTAAGAAATCTTGGACCCA